GTACACAGACACTGAGAACATCAATTATCTACAGACAGACCGTGTGTTTTCAGTAGGTTTCGTTATTATTTTCACTTTGTCACACAGACCAGACCAACGTTGACTGTGCAAAGTCATCAGGAATCAACACAATTCACTACCCACAATTTGGAAGATCCTGCTCTCATTCAAGAACTAATTCAAGCAACTGCAATAATTTTTTTTTTTGTTTACCCTTAATTTGATTATCTTTTGCTGTAGAGACTGGATAACTCAATAGAATACTCCAGAAACACTGGAAACAAAGAATTTAAGAATTTTACCTTTTAAAAAATGGAGCCCTTCCATAATGACTGTCTCCATTTCCTTTAGTTCCCTATGACTTGCAATTATGATATTTTTTCTAAAAAAAAAAAAAAAGCCTATGGATCTTAAAGACATCCATCACCCTGACATGCAACATCAGGAATAAAACTATTACTTCATTAACAAAATGTTTTACAGGCTTTTTTCTTTCTCTTAGGGGCCGAGCCATGACAGAGCAGGATGGGGACGATGGTGTAGTTGGGGTAACAAGAGCACTGAGGGAAACCAGGTTTGATGCAGGCAGGTAAATGTCATTCACTGGAGATTAACCAGGGATTTGGGGCCAGCAGGCTGCCCCCTCCACCCAGGCAGTGTTAAGATATCATTTTATTTTCTAGCACCTTCTAATATTTCCATTTTCCAAAGCATTTTAAAGCCCTTCATTTGAGAACACACTGTGCTTACAGGTTCTCCCATGTCCTTCCATAACTCTGCCCACCCAATCTTTAACCTCCTTTACAGAATTCCCGTGTCTATTTGGGCCTTTAAAGGTAATCTTGACCTTCTCAATCTCACCAACTGAGTACATTTTACAACCCAGAAACCACAAAGAGCAACAACAGTGAGGAATCACCCGTCCAACTCACCACCAGGATGAAAACCAGGGACACAGTTACAGGGGAGGCTCCTGGCTCCAAATCTGGGCTTTTATGCAGGTGCCTCACATCTGCTCTCAAATTAGAAAACTAGTGGCTAATTTAATTGCCCAAGAGCAGCTGGCCCAGGCCTCCTTGGCTGGTCTTTTGTCTTGAGCTCAGTTTAATGACTGGTCCAGGTGAGCCTGGGAACAACCCACAGAGCTCAACATCACCTGGCTGACAGGCCCAAATCACAGAGGAAAGCAGAGAAGAGCCAGAGGTTAAACAGGCTTAAAAGTGGAAGTATTAGATAAGCTTTTCACTGTTGAAAACAGAAAAAGTTAAGCAAAAAGTAGTTACTGAACTAAGAATCTGGGTAGAAAAAAGGCAAAGTTATCAGCATTAGGAACTGCCTATACTTTGTGCCAAAAATTATTATCCTGTTCAGCAGAAATTATTTAGAGATGAAAAAAAAACAACTCTCAAAGATAGTCCTTCAAACATTCACACCAGAACTGGCATATGAGGACAGGATTAATTAAACCAAGAATTCCACAGAGGTTAAAATACCCCAAAAAAAAATCACACTTAGTCACAACAGTTCAGGAATTGTCACTATAAGAACATAATCATCTGATGCAGGCTGGCAATTCACATGATGTATTTTGAGATGTCTTCCAAGTAACAGTCATGTAAAATTGATGTTTCAAGTAATCTCCTGCCCAGTCTCAGCCTTCCACAGGAGCTGCTCAAAGTGAAACAGAGACTGAAAATACCCCAAAAGAACTATGAGAAGCAGGTTCTCATCCCCTAAAAGGTGTGAGGAGGTAAAAAGTATTTTTGCTACAACAGGTTAAGAACCCTTTCTAAAAGTTTCTGCATGTAACAACCACCACTGAATTTTTCTGTTCACAAAAGGTTCCCAAACATGTGATACTTCTTCCCAGAGTCATCTCCCAGTATGCCAAGACAGAAATAGTATTTTAACATTTTTAAATACCAAAAGCCCTAGAGACATTCCTCTAAACATGAAAATATTGTATTGCTTTTGCAGCAATTTGAAAATTTGCAGGGAAGGCAGAAATGACCCAAATAGATCCGTCACAGTTTTTAAAGTAAAAAGAAACAGAAGTATCCTCAACTTCATCAGTAATTTTTGGAATCCTTTTCTGCTACACAGGATATATTATGGAAAGTCTAGAGGACATCCCAGGCAGCAATGGATAGGAAAGTCAAGGCAATGGACACTCATCTCCTGATTTATGGTGAGATTGGCAACAGCAGAGGAAAAGAGATGCTGGCACAGACTAACCCAGGGCTGTACTGACAGGGATGCAGGCAGAGTGAAACAGAAAGTGGAAAGCAGAATTCTGAAACAGATTGTTATATTTAACAATTCCATCTTTGTGGGGTTGTTTCTTTTTTTTTAAAAAAAATACCAATAAAATTGTTACTTCATTGTGGAAATTTAAGTTAAGCTGTACACTGGGTTATTTATCTATCTGAAGAACATTCCACATGCAAGCTGGTTTTCTACTACAGAACTCTTTTGTTATGAAAAAGAGCACGTTGGATGTTTTAGGAACGTAAATGTATCAGTTTGGAAACGCCAGTGACTCACTGTGTGTTCTCTGTCCACCTCAAGGATGTTTCTCCTTCCTGGGGAGGTTTTCAGACAAAATTGCCATTTGGGAAAAAAAATCAAGGTAAGGAATTATTCCTCTTGCCTTCTCATTTTCAACTGGCTTCCAAAACTAAGTACTGAGAGGTGTTCACAGACCTCCTTTCTATTTGGAAGTTCAGAAAACAGCTGAAGGCACACAAAATTAGGCTTTTGTGTGAAGAGGAATAAATACCAGTGCAGTTTTCCAGCAGGGATTTCTGGACACCCACATCTACCACACCCCTTGGACAGGAGAGGGTGCCCCTATCAGACCTTCCACAGCTGAGCTACTCCCTCCATGCCTCTGGGAGCAAACATCACATCTAAATTGTGCTACAGCTGCCTATCCCTACAGTTCTGATACTTTCTTCTAATTCTTTGATCCCGTTTTCATTTTTTAACTCTGTCAGAGAAAGCAGAAGAGGAGCTGGACTGTGTTGCTGCTCAGAAACAAAGCTGCAGAAAGAGCAACCCAGCAGAGAAGGCAGAGAAAAGAAGAACCTAAAAAACCCATGCAAGCTTTTAAGGAATGTGGTTCCATAGGATTTGTAGGACAAAAGATGAGGATGTAGAATCCAGCAGAGATCCCAATTTCCCCAACACTGGGGATGTTCAGAGCTGTTGTTTTGAATGTAGTCCCTGAATGAACGAAACTCCTTCCACGCAGTATTTTGGGAGAGAACAGAGGCTACAGAATTATCTCTTATATAATAATATTTAAAACCCTCCCATCAAATGATTTAACTTTCTCATCCTCCTTACTGGAAAGAACTAACTGCATATCATTTCCTACTGTATCCCTAAAGTAACTCCACAGAGGATGTAATTTTCCTCTGGACATTCCTCTCCCCGAGTTACCAAGATGCTCTCACAATGCACATCAAAAGTGCAGTGCTGGTTGGGGGTTTTTTGCTTGTTTCTCCCCACTGTAACCTTCTGCTCCATAAAAATAAAACTAAAAAAGAAATCATCCTGCAATCCCTGTGTAACATGCTCTCAACCAGGAGCTGGCAGCTACAGCCACATTTTGAGGAACCTGTCATTTTCCTTACAGGAAAAAAAAAAAAGAAGGCAGCAGGAAACTCAAGTGTTGTAGAATGATCTAAGCTTCTAGCAAACAATTGAAAATGTGGCCCCAGCATTGTGCTTATTTTCTAGATTTTGTACAGTTTCCTATACCATCCATATTCTTTCCCTTCTCTCCTTCCTCCTTCTCTTCCCAGGAGTTTGCTCTCTCCTGCAAAGGGAATCAACCCACCCTCTCACAGCTACTGAACTCACTCCTCAAATTCTTTTGCTCCTTTTGTAAAGTTCTGTTCCTTCAAAGCTGCAGTCTCCAAATTGTCTCTTCTTCAAGGAGAACTGATTTCTGCCCCACAAATCCTCCTCATGGCATTAATTAAACACCGCCCCTTCCCCACAAGCCACTCCTGCTCCAACATTCCCTTTCCCCTCTCTGGGCTCAGCATCTCTCCCCCTGCACCAACAGGAAGCAAAGCAGCATCTGCTCCTTGAGAATCAGGAATAAAGGTTAGGAAAGCTGCCTGCTGCTTCCCTCCCAGGAAGGCACTTGGAAGGAACCAATACTGGCATCTCAGTTATCTGGAACTGGCTTTGAAACCCTACAACATTCCTGGATGAACAGATTGCTGGCAACCATCAGGGGGAAAAAAAAACCAAAAACCACAAAACAAACAAAGGATCCAGCCAGGCCTACACATTGCCACACATTCAGGAGGTAACAAAACGAGATTATTTGTATTTTGGGTGTAACTATGCACAGGTGTACACACACACACTGCACTGCCTGCATGGCATGGAAGAGTTTAAACACTCCCAGCTTCCCACAGGTGATGTTCACCTCTCCCAGGTTTCCCCAGCATCAGTCCCTGCCCCTTTTACACCTTTCACACCACACCTGCAGTGTTCTGTGTGCATCCTCCGAGGGCAGTTTGGCTCAGCACTGACCTTGTTGCATTTCCAGTGAAATCAACAGCGAAACTTAATTTGATTTTTGATGGAAAAATGAGCATGGTGGAAGTTACGCCCTTGACAGAGATTTGTTCAGGCAGCGAAATGTCACTTCCTACATCCAAGTGCTCAGAGAGTTTGGATTAGCCAAGAACTTTCTTGTAATTCTCCAGGTTTACGTTATTATAAAATTTAGAGCAAGCCTGTTTGAAGGCCAGTGTTGATTCTTCCTCTAAAAGCATCGATCCACATTTCATTATTTACAGAAAGCAAAAGCTGCCTGATGAGAAAGCCATCGAAGACAAGCAGCCTTAGTTAAGGTGGTGGACTTGGCAATATGCACAGGTAAATCATAGAAATAAACCATTAAGAAAAAAATCATCACTTCCACAGGCCTAAAATCATGTACTACTGAGGGAGACTGGAACAGCTTCTCCTCTTACCTCTGGAGTGTTTTTCTTGAACTCACGACTTTGCTCGATAAGTTTTTTCCTGGACTGCTCACTTTCATCTTGCCGGTTTGCCAATATTGTTGCTGTGGTATCGAGCTCTCTCTGAGAAAAACAAAACATAAAACAAGAAAAGAAGAAAAAGGAAAATATTGTCAGGGCTGTGTTTGTCACAGAAATAAAAATCCCTCATACACACATTGGGAATATTGAGACGGCCGGACCATGGAGCAGTACAGGACAAAGCACCAACCTGCCAGGAATTTACCCCCTGAATACCATCAAATGAAGCTCCAGAACCTTCCTGATTCCATCCTGCAACCAAAATATCACCATTTTCCATAAAAGCATCCATGGCTTCACCCCAACATTACACAAGACAGCAGCAGTGGCAATACACACATCCTAATAATAATTCCCAAATCCAGGGAAGATTACAGATTATGGACATATTCAAACCAGGTTTATTTTCACCTGGTTTTATCTGCTTTTTAAAGATACTGGTTTTCCCCTTTTTGAGTTACTATATGAAAAAGAAATATTATTAACTCCAATGTTGGTTAACCTTACACTGGTTATGCTTCAGTCACTCTTAATTTCCTATAATATACTGTATATAATTCCACACTGCCACTGCAGTGCTCTTTTCCATTTAAGTTGTTCCTTATTTGAATACAAAATTATCTTTTCCTGTTAATGGAATCTATTCCTCTAAAATTATTAGCAGGGACCTCCATTTCCTCTCCAAAGCATATCATTTTTAAGCACCTGATGAATGCCAGATTATCTTCCAGCAGTTTCTACCAGGCTGGAGCACAGGCTCCATCTTTTCACAGCTTCCTCCCAGTGTTATCCCCATCCCAGTTTCTGCACTCAGTCCTGTGCTTCCAAATGTCACCATAATAGATTGAACGGGTCACTTATCAGCACACAAACCAACAATACTCAATCTCCTGTGGCAGTTCATGCCTCTTCTGCAGTATTTCCACGTAACATGAAAAAATAAAGGCAAAACCCTCCACTCAGCTAAGCACAACATTCCCCAAGTCACTTGGAAAACCAAGAATTTATAAAGGGAATTTTGCACTGTTTTCCCCCCTTATTAATTCCAAAGGAGAAAAACCTAGCTATGAGAAAGAAGTTCCTGAAAAGTGAGAACAACTTACTACAGCAAGACTGTCTTCAACTCATGCCTCTGCCAAAATGCCTCCAACCTTCATGCAAAGACTCCAGTATTCTCCACCAAAAAACCTGCCACACACCTCTGGCATTTGTTTGGAACTCAACCACCTGTAATGGACCAAACCCAGAGGCCTGGGACCTCCTGTCATGTTTGAGACCAGATCCCAAATAGGTGCTCAAGATGTTGACTGATGCTAGATACAGCTACTGGTTTCTAAATACTCTGAAAAAGCCTAATTTCAAATATTAGATACATTTTTTTAATGGATAAATCCTACAACTTTAAATGACTGGATGGATGGACGTGGGTTTTATGTGACTCCACAGTTTGAACTGTGGAGGGAAAACAAAAAGCCTTGCATAGTTTCCAACTCAAAAGGATCAATACTCTCCCCCCCCCCTTTAGGTTTCCTAGCATAAAATTAAGATCCTTTTTTTCCCTAATAAATATATGGACCATAGTTTTCTTAATCCTTGGAAACAAGCTCAATATGACAAGTGGATTTGAAGCCAGGCAGCAATGCTGGAGCCAGTGACCTAAATATTGTCACTGAAATGCTAAAAAAACCTTCCATATCTGACTTTGAGTAAAGAAACAGGGCAATATGTCCACCAGACCTTGGTTTGGAATTCTGTAACATATGTGAAATCTATTGCAGAAAAGTGGGAAATACTTAACAGTTGGATAAACCACATTTGAAATTCATCCCAGCTAAGTTTATGCAAGAAAAAAGAGCAACAGAAACCAATGTGGTTAAGCAGAACTATAAAGAGCAATATAACGGCTAAGCAGAAGGCTTTTAAAAAATATAAACAATCTGGTACAGCCAGAAACTTGGAAAACTATATTTAAAAAGGAAGCACACATTTGAAGCCAAGCAAAGAAAACACAAGTCATGAAGCAAGAGGGAATTTCAGCAGAGCAAGGAAGCAAACGCTTCGGTTCACAATACGGGGCGCTGGCAACCAACCCTACCAATGGAAAAGGAGCCTTTTAAAGACCTGTGCTTCCACTTTTAGAGACAGGAATGAAAAGGAACTGATCAAAAAAAAAAATAATATTTCATATTTCGTGCTGTAATGAAGAGTCAGGCAGCAAATGAAAAACAACTTCTTCATCCCCGCCGCTTGACTGATCCCAGTGCCACAGCGCGCTCGCTCCGGGCGCCTTCCCATTAACTTCCAGAACTCCTTCTGGGACAGGTCTGATAATTTCTCACCACAAAACAGTTCCTTATGTGTCATATCAGGCAGAGACACTGCCAAGGAGAACTGCCAGCACAGAACTGCACTGAACTGTCTCTGACACTGGGGGCTGAAGCCCACGAGCTCAAGGTCTTGCAGAGAGAACTGATGAGCAACTGATAGTGTGAGATAAAATTCCAGCTGAGGGACAGCAGAAATCCAACACTGTATACACGATCTGATGCAAAATAATATATTAAATCTCCCAGCTGTGTCATAGTTAATAAGCCCCAAATCAAAACTATTTGGAAAATCACTAATCTCTTCCTCCTTACTTGATTTGAACCGTGTACAATGCACGTTTCGTTTATTTAAACCTAATAACAGTTACAGGGTTACAAACCACAAGCATTAATGGCAGATTTTTCATACTTTTGTAACTTAATCTCATGAGATAGCCCAATTTTTGTAAAAATTCAACGTGGCCAATGCATTATTTCTGCCAGCAAGCACATATTAAGGAGCAAGCAGAAGTAAATTTGGTACTACAGACCTGAGCACTTTGTATTACTCAGAGGTATCCAGGCTTCCCAAGCCTTGCAACCACTCTCTAAGTAGATATCAAGTGAAAGGAGATGTAATTCTGTGCGTTGGAGAGTCCTTTAGAGTGCAACAAAACCAGGAACCCACGGCTCAGCATCACTCTCCACACCTTTGAAATCAAAAAGGTTCCAATGAAAAGCAAAGAGAAACCAGGGCTCAAAGGTGTTGCAGCAGTGACCTGGCTACGGAAAGGATTCAAAGCCTGGAAGCTTTAGTTCCACTGATCCAACAGTGGCTAATAAAGTTTCTGGCCCAAAATAGCCCCCATTCAATCACCCCTGCAGAAAGGGAGTCACTGCTTGGAGCACATTTTGAGAGAGAACAAGCAAGACCATTATCCCTCCCCTGCCCCAAAGTCCCATCGATTTAGGGCAGAGACAGTTCATAGATAACTAAAGAACTCTCTCCAGGGTTTCTGCTTTGACCCATTTCAACAAATTTATTGGGGGTGGGAGGGAGGCAGTGGGAGGAGAGGAGACAAGAAAGTCTTATGCTCCTGAGCGCGGGAGTCATTAGAAGCAATCCCCAGAAAACAAACATTAAAAGGTTTCTTTCATGCAGAGCAGAAATAAAAACCCTAAAACTAGGAGGGTCAATCTGCTATCCCCTGTAACAACAATCACCTTGAAGTGCATCTGTCTTCTTTTAATGCAAGTACTTCCAGCCTCTGGATCCCCAGGAGCCTCCCTGTTCATCCCACCTCTGTCACCCCTGTGCCATGGCGATGGTGTGGCTGCATGGGATCCACCACAGCAGAGCGAGCCTGCCAAAAACACCCCAGCCTTCCCCTCCTGACTTCTGTTGCACTGAATCAGCCCCCCCTAGGCCCCATCTGTGCCTACAAGGACTTGTACCAGTGCAACAGGGAGGTGGGAAAACACAGCTGGAGCGAGGGGGCTGGTGGAATCCCCCTTTTCCAACCCGCAGTTAGGTTGACCCCAAGTAATTATGAAACTCCAGGCTCACTGCAGGCAGGTTTTCAAGGTTGTTTCTTTCACAGCTCATAGGTCTTTCCCTTCTAGATGCATTCCTTGATAATCACCCAGCCAACAGGTCCACACCACTGACCGGTTCAGCACAAGTCCTTCCCTTTCCATAACCAGAAGCTTTTTAAGCCAGTCCTTCCATGCCCAGGACCTGCCAGTGGCTGGCTGGCAGCTCTCAAAGCTGAGTCCCAAAAACTACTCACTTGGGAAAATGATTCTAAAAAGAAATTGGGCTTTCTTGGACATTTATGAAGCTTCTGTTCCCCCACCCACTTTCAACAGCTACTGGCCACTGCCCTGACATGGGCATTTCACAACCAAAGGAACCAACATACCTCAGCATCCCTGTTCCCCCCATAATCATAACTAGTCCTCAGTCTCTGCTCAGAACCAGTATTCTCATGTTTCACATGGAAAAAGTTTTAAAAAGCTGTAATAATCACCTGTAAGTTACTGCAATGTAACTGTATCCTAAAATTTTGTAATTCTCCCATATTAAAATGTTTAATCCCTGCTGCATTTACCACAAAGCTCTTTCACTGGAGCAAGAAACACATATCACAACCTTGGGACAAACTGATTCTTTTCTGGTAGGCTTCTAGTCAGGGCACAATGCCCAGGCTGTGCCTTCCAAAGCCTTACACGTGGCTGCAGGGGTTACCAGGACATCAGGAAGAATTTCCTCACTGAAAGGGTTGTCAGGCATTGGAAGGGGCTGCCCAGGGAGGTGGTGGAGTCATCATCCCTGGAGGTGTTCAAGGAACAACTGGATGTGGCACTCAGTGCTCTGGTCTGGCTGACAAGGTGGTGTTTGATCAAAGGATGGACTTCACGGCCTTGGAGGTCTTTTCCAACGTTAGTGATTCTATGATTTTCCTTATTACAAGGACAGACACAAATCACAACTTCACGTAGGTCAGGAATTTTCTGCCAGTAAATGTAGCAGTAACCACTTCCCCCGAAATCTTGTTTCTGTGCATTCAAGGTATTTCCCTTTACCATCATTTCAATCGGCTCCCCAGTCTACGTGATAATCTGCCACTGAAAGGAGTTTTCAGTAGTCTCATTTCTGTTTTCATCCTCTCACAGGATTGCATTTGTCACAGCTATCAAAGCTCTCAATGTAGCTTTTTGCAATTTTTAATTTCC